GTCATATCATTTGGGGGACGGCCCAGGCCCTCCTTGCTGTATCTGGGCTGCAATAGTATCCCTTCATAGGGAATGGGCTCCCACAGAACATCTGTGCTCTGGGATCTTTTATTTTTCCTGTTTTTTTGAGACAGGGTTTCTCTGTATTGCTTTGGAGCCTATCCTGGAACTCGCTCTGTAGACCAGGCTGGCCTCGAACTCACAGAGATCGGCCTGCCCCTGCCTCCCAAGTGCTGGGATTAAAGGCATGTACCACCAATGCCTGGCCCCCTAACAAATCAGATCTTGCTTCTCATGCAGCAGGCTTGGTTCAAACCCACCCTCTTAAGGCCATGTTCTTGGAACTCATGTTCTTCAGCTTGGAACACAAGCTTATTAATAAGCTGACAAAGAATCCCAGTCCAATTGTGTGCTAGGAATTCCATTCTCCAGCCACAGAACCTAGCCTGAACACAGGATGGCAGGAACCCCCAGTTACAATTATGGTCTACCGTGCTACAACTCCTGCTTTCTATTTCATTTCCTTCTCCCTCCCCAACATCCCTTCTAGAAAGTTATTTTAGCTCTTTTACCTCCTATAAAAAGAGCCAGTTTGGAAAATTATGAAGCACTGACTAAGGGTCTCCTATAGGCTCTGGTCTTGTAGAGTGACGAGATCCAGTATGGGGTTGTCTGACCAACATGCTGACACAGGGCATCAATTTTGTTGTGAAGGGTCACACATGGCTGTACTCGGAGCAGGGACACTGGACATTACATCTGGCCCCTCCACCACTAATGCGGTGAATGGTCTTTACCTCCAGAGGTCCTTTTCCCTGGATCCTCCTGAAGCCGCAGGTCCCCTGCTCCTGAGGGGCTGGGACGCCTGTCTGGGGCTTCTGGGATCTCCTTCAGACAGTTCAGCAGGCCCTGAAGGGGACAATCCCCGGATATTGCCTCTGTCTTCACTAAGGGAAAAGACACATGTCTCACTTAAGTTCAGTGTCCTCAGTCTCCTGACAGACAGGCAAGGTCTGTCCTGGGGTGCATTCTGAGCAGCACACGGCCAGAAACCAGGACCTGTAAACCTTCTAGGTGGGCAGCACCTAGGCACAGCTATCACTTGTGGTGCAAACTGAAGGTGGTAGGCTGGCAGTTTCTGAGTTCTGAGTACAACTTAGCTTCAAGGTGGATCAGGCCTTGGCATACACATGGAATGTTTATACACAAGAGGGATTCTGTAGTTAAGTCCACCTCAGCCCAGAGAATGGAACAGCTATCCTCTACAGATGCAAGACCAAAGCTCAAAGCTTCCGCGGCCTTTGAGGGGAAACCTCAGGCAGACCTCAGTGTCCACTGACACCTCATTCATGTCAACAGAAAGTGACATCTGAGCACCAAAGTCCCCCTCAGAGTCCCACATTAGAAGAAGCAGAGACCAGCAAGGAGAACAGGATAAAGTCTGCTGCTCTAATCCTTGAAAGTTATTGGGCTTCAGACACTTGACCCCAGGGACACAAGAGCACCCAAAGTGGTCACCTCACAGGAGACAGCACGGAAAACAGCAGAAGCTATGAATGGCAATTTGAACTTTCCAGGGACTTTGGAAACTTTGGTCTGAGCAGGCCAGGTGCCCAGGGACTCACCGGTGCAGGGCAGGCTCCCTGACTCCACCTCAGCTCCGGTCTGTTTCAACACACTCAGGCCAGGGAGAGAAGGTGGCAAGTCTGGGGCTGTCCCACGGTGCTGGGGTCCAGGCACAAGGATTTCCTTCAGACAGTTGATGAGGCCTTGCAAGGGACTGTTCTCAGGAGAGGTTCCTGTGCACACATAAGGAAGATAAGGCCACTGTAGTCCTGACTGGCAGCACAAAACCCTCAGCCATTTCCGCTGTCTGGAGGCAGCTGAGAATCACCCACACAAACACACAAGGCTTATCTTATAGCATTAGTTCTCAACGTGTGGGTTGTGACCCCTTCAGGGTCACAGATTGAGCATTTACAATTCATAACAGTAGCACAATTATAGTTATGAAGTAGCAATGAATAACTTTATGGCTGGGGGTCACCATAACATGGAAAACTGGATTAAAGGTTGGAAAACACTGTCTTATAGGGTTGTCATGAAGTTCAGATGGGATAGTGACATGATCTTCTCTGACCCTACTCAGCTCTAGGTAGCTCAACCCCAGCAAGCCAGCCTTTCACCTAACCCTGTGCTACCTCTCTCTTGTCTGAGGTGACTCTTGCTCTGGTCCAGGCTTTGAGTGGAGTGAATGGAAGTCTCTCCTGAGGCTAAGCCTTCTTTCTCTACAGACAGTGGTTTATCAGCAGTTCCTAGTGCAAAACACAAAGAAAGCCACGTTAGATCACCCCAGATCTGCTCCCCAAGAGGACACACCACTCTAACTCTCCAGCCCTTTAAGAGTCATCCACATCCTAAACATTAGCCTTGTGTTGGGGGTATCTTTGGAGGACTTGTTCCAGGAGGGAGGCTGTTTCCTGTTATCTTCCAGCTTAGCTGTAAATAGCAAGACTTGTTCATGCCAAATGTTTCCAGACCCTCTCCCTGACCCCAGTCTCTAAATCTCAGCCAGCTAATGAAGCCTACAGTCACAACACAGGCTAGGCTTCTTGTACTCATGCACTCACACTTTTTCTTCTTTTTGGTGTTTGTGTGTGTGTGTGTGTGTATGTGTGTGTATGTTTGTGTTGTTTCCCCCTTTTGAGACAGGATTTTTCTTTGTGTAGCCCTGGCTGTCCTAGAACTCACTTTGTAGACCAAGATGGCTTCAAATTTACAGAGATCCACCTGCCTCTGCCTCTGCCTCTGTCTCCTGAGTGCTGGGATTAAAGCCATGTGCCACCTCCTCCTGGCTGCACTCATGCTTCCTATGTGGGGTTTGTAAGGCGGATGACACAGGGAACTGCAGGCTAATTGGGGTACATTTTGGGGGAGTGTCCATTTTAATCTTATTTCTTTAAATATTCTAAAATAGAACACCAAAACAGGGCTGGAGAGATGATGTGGCCCTTAAAGTCTAGGCTCACAACAAAACAAAAAAACCAAAACATTCAGACAATTACAATTTTGAAGTATTTAAGAAGACAAACTGAGACCCCAGACAAACTCTAGTGACCAACAATGCTTCCCTGCTGCTGGCTTTGCTGAGGCAGTTTGAGAATCAAACCAGGTAAATGGATTGTAGGAACTGCACAGAGCTCTCTATGTGTATGCAGTCCTCAGTGATCAACACGGGAACAGGCCATCTGGAACTGAGCATCAAATCACCTGGTCTGTAGCCCAGAGGGCAAGTGTGTTTTCTCGTTATTCAGACACCTTTGTCTCCAGTCAGCTATGAGGAAGCTGAGCCAGAGAAAGTGAAGAGGGCATAGGGTTCAAGGCTGGATTCTAGGGCTAGGCCTTTACAATGCTGGGTGTCCCTGTGCACATTGGGTCAGACTCACTGGTAGGTAGGAGGAATTCTTGTGCACAGTCTCCAGGAGGGCCACAGGAAGATGAGCTGCCGGTGGGTGTTGTGGCCAGGCTGGGGTGGCTTTCAGGGCTCTCTGGAAGAGAACCGAGCAGGCTTCGGGGAGGGTAAGTTTCCACAGCCCCAGTTACTGTTGGGAGATGGAGAAGACGCCAACTGGTGAGTTGTCCTAACATTACCACAGTCAGTACTTTCCCTGTCATGTTTCACTAACAACTACCAGGAGCCAGTTGACCTATTCACTGTCATTGCTGACCTAATCTTAAGATGTATGTCTTGGCCATGTCCTGATAAAGCACAGAGCAGTGAGTATAAAGCCACTTTGTATGTACCTCTGCTTCCTTCCTATGTCACCCATCATTAACCCAAGAGGGCTGCAGCAGGGAGGGGGACATGCTCTAGGCTGACCATGTGACGAGGGGAAAGAACAGATAGTTTGTGAAGCAGAAAGAGAAAGGCTAGCAATAGGAACTAAGCCCCACTGGCTATCTGGACAAAGCTCAGCTTCTCTCCCGTTCTACATCTGCTTAACAGGAACAAACATGCTGCTAACCACCATGCAAAGTGTGAGGTGACAGGAGGGATCACTGGGTGGCTGGACACAGAAACACTGAGAGAAGGCATGAGCTGTTCCCACACCCACTAGGTCCCAAAAAACTCAGAGGATGAGCACACAGAGAGGAGGTCAAGAGCTGAGCTGGCAGGTAACTATGCACAGCACCTCGAACTGTAGCGAAGGCACTCTTGCAGCTTGTGTGACTTACCCTCAGGGCTCGCTTGCTCCCCATCCAGACTGGCGCTCCCACTCTCGGAGTAGTCCTCAGTGCCCTTCACTTCTCCAAACAAGAACTCTGGAATCTCCTTTACCAGCTGCACCAAGGCGGTGAGGTGTAGGCTCTGCTGGGGCTGCCCTCCTGTGGAGAGGTGTGTGGGTCCTGTGCTCAGTCACCTAGTTTCTTAGGAACCCTCTCTGTCAAAGATGGAGCAGCCAAAGGGAGCAAATGGCTCAGAAGGGAGGGCTGAGCTCAAGAGGGTTCTGTGCCGTTACCTCTTGTCTACTTTCCAGTCAGAGCAATACTGAAGGGTCCTGTGGCTCCACCTGGTCTTCTACCTCTCCTCACTCACACCAGGTGCCATCTCTACTGTCTAAGCTGCAGACTGGCTCTGGGTAGCAGTGAGTGGGGCCCAAGGCAGACGTCTCTCCAGTGTGACCTCAGGTTCATTCTGAGCATTTCTCCATGGACTGACTAGACTACATGCAGTGAGCCTCCACCCAGAGGAAGAAGAGGCAAGACTCAAGGAGGCCTGGACTGAATTAGCTGAAGTCAAAGTGTCACTTGAGGGGCAGAGCCTAGGGGCTGAAAACTATGATTAGAAGGAAGTGCTCCAAGTCTCCTGGGAGGACCTACCTTGGGAGCCATGCTCCAGTGGGGGTTCTTGTCCCTTATCATGGTGCCTCTCTCCCCCTGTGGCTCCTCCAGGCTCTGTGGGTGACAGGAAAGCAGAGAGAGGAAGCAGCTCAGAGGTCCCTGGGGAAAGAAGGAGCAGTTACTCTGGGAACTGACTAGCTTCTACCCTCCCAGTCATGTGATGGCCCAGATGACTGCTTATCTATGCGTAACTTTCCATACATGGTTGTGTGTGTGGTCACCAAATTCAAAGGCCGCATACCCCTAAAGCTTTGTACCCAGACCCCCACTCTGGCTCACAGAAACAAACAAAGGAACAAAGGAAAGTGAGGCCCTGGGCAGCCTCAAGCTCTGAACACTCCCCTAAGCCTACTCAATCCACAGATGAGGAGGCCAAGGCCTAGAGGAGCCTCGGGTCTCACAGAGACTCAAGAGCCCGGGCCTGGGCCCTGGCCTCCTTCTCTCCTACCCTCTCTGTCCCTGCAGCCCATACTCTGGAGGCCTCGGGCCCTCACCCACAGACACCAACGTCTCGTAGTTTTCCCGCATCACGTCTCTGTAGAATTCCCGCTGCCCCTCCTGCAGGAGCCGCCACTCCTCTTCAGAGAACCGCACGGCCAAGTCCTTGAAGCTGATGGGCACCTGTGGGCACAGTCTCCGGGGGGGTTGGCTGCATCCATGCCAACAAGGCCCACCCAAACTGTCCCTTCGCTCAGGGAGCTACATGGGTCTCCTGGTAGGCACTGGGGGCAGGCAGTGCAGAGACAGGACCTGGCCTGGGGCAGTGCTGCAATTAGCTGGGTGCCCAATGATTGCCACCAGCAACATCTTAGAAACAAGGTCACCACAGGTGTAACTAGGAAAGATGAAACTACATTCCTTAGTACCCAGCCAGCCCTATTTGCTGTCATGTCCGAGGACCTGGAACTCCAGCACTATGGCACTGAGAGGAGGACATCAAGTTACTAATAAAACCAGCTCATTACCAAGGTCTAGTATTCTTTATCCAAATTCTTGGGGCCAGATGTGTTTTGAATATTTGATGTTGAATGTTCTCCTGTACATAATGAATTATTTTAGAGATGGCACCCAAGTCTAAACAAGAAATTCATTTATAGTTTGTTCTTTATACACTAGCTGAAGGTAACTTTTACAGTGCTTTTAATACAACTACATTTTGACTGCAAGCGATAACAGGAGCTCAGATGTGGCTTTCTGTACATGGGGCATCACAGTGCTCAAAAGTTTTGCCTTTTGGAGCATTCCATCTCAGATTTCTAGACTAGGGTTAATCAACCTGCATAGCAAAGAAAAATCCCACTTTCTGCTCTTCAGCAGGGTGACATAATTTATCAAAATTAAACACCCCCAAACAGTAGGGGGAGGACCAGCAACAAGAAACTCATGGAGCCCTAAAGAAGATTGACCTGGCTACCTGCCTGTCAGGCAGCAGGTGAGCCAGGTACTCATAGGCCTGACCTATGCTTAGGGCCCCTGATCTCAGACTCCAGTCTGGTCGAGGTTCCTAGCTGGTGGGCAGAACCCACCTTCATTTTTCCAGTCTCTTCACTTTTCTACCCACCCTGCAAGGGTTCAGCTGTGGTCAGTTCCACCATGAAAAGCTGTGACACCCAGCACCAGATGCATGCAGTCAAAGGCGAGGGCCACAGAGTCCATCTAGAGGCCCCATCTTACCATGCTCCCTACCCTGCCCCTCCTACTATTGCCACTTAGCATTGAAAGCCTGCAGTATAGTCCTTAGGGACTCAGAAGAAACCCAGAAACCAGGGAGCTTCAGGAAACAGTTCTTTCCATCCACACTCCACACCTTTATCTGCTATGCTCACCCCCTGTACCCTGTGGCTTTGTAAGATGAAAGCAACATTGCTTAGTTTCTTTAAAAGTCATCCTTCAGTGGACTTTAAACCAGCCATGAAAACTCAGACAATGACCAACATCTGATAGGCATGAATTTAAATTATGACAGAAATTAACCTTGCAAGTGACGCAAATAAAATGTAAATTATGGAAAGAGTCCATCCAGGTTAGAAACAAGCATGATCAGTAAGAAGGAACTGTAAAGAAAACAGGGAGGCTTCTAATAAAGCAGAGGAGAGTTGACCACCTATTCCATGCATTTAAGTTGGTGACTTTAGGAGTCTCTGCTACTAACTGGCAGCCTTGCCACCCACTCCCTGCCATCTCTCTGCCTGACATTCCTGACAGCTGACAGCCACTACTTGCATACACTAGACTCGTACACCTAAAGCCCTGACATTTTGAAGTAGTTACGCTCCAGCAACACATCTGGCTAGGGAATGCATCTCTAGTGACTGCTGCCAGAAGCCCAGAAGGGATCAGAGGCAGTGTTCTTTGCCTCTTAGCTCACTGTGCATTCCCAACCATCTCTATGGCCTGCTGGGCAACTCAGCAGCTTCTTTCCCCAAGCTCTGGCCCACTATGGCCACTATTCCTCAGGAACACCTCAGATACTCCACAAACCTCTAGCAGGGAGCCATTTTGCATTTCTTATTGGCCTCCTAGCACACACATGTGGACAATCTAAAGATCCCATGGGGAAGCCTGCCACTGCTTGTCCTTCAAAATGCCCAGCACCAAGTAGACTTAGGCAGGCACCGGAGAATGTGCATCTCAAAAGGATTTCTACCTAGCTGATTAGAGGTTGACTGGTTAACACAGTGGCTAATCTGTGAGATACAGCTTGTGTTGGACATGTACCTTTGTCTGCAATTGGGGCAGGTGCCAGCAGAAGGTGCCAGAGTGACCTGTTCTCAGCAACAATCCTGGGTGTGGAGTTTCTGGCAAGATTCCCCAGTGGGCATTACACACAGGTCATTCACCACTACGCTGGGGGAGCTAAGTGCATCTTGGTAACTGCACCGGAGGCCTCAGGGAAGCTGCCTCAAATTTCCTCTAACCTTGACCCATGCGCCTTTGCTATCTGCTGAATTTGTCAGATGTTTGTCAGCCATGAGTCTAACTACCTGCCAGGCCTGAATTCTTATGGACATCTCTAAGACTCAGATGCCCTTGGGGACGCCACCACAGGACCCTGTTACACTTGGCCACCTTCCAACTCCCCAGCCCCCTGCCCATGAATTCAACCCACCACTTCCTAGTCTCTTCTTTGGCATCTCTGCTACAGCTCTAGCCTCTGTCTCTTGTCCTCTCTGGTACTGCTCTCTTCCACCTCTCCCTTTTGGTATCCTGTCAGCCTATGGCTGGGAGCCATGGAGACTGGCTGGTAGAATGCGAAGAAGCTGGAGAGTCCTCGTGTGTGAGCTACAGACCCCCAGGGCTGTGACAATAGGCTTGGGGTTCAAACGTGCATGCACATGCCTCCTATAGACCAAATCTACACGATGTGCTTATACACATAGTTACTGTTTAAACATGTTCAGATGCTCCTGTGATGAACAAGCACACCCTCTAAAAGTCATACAAATTATGACATATGGACATCTACCACCTCGTTGCACTGAGTAGACAGCTATGGGGGATCAGGGAAGTTTCACCATCAAGGAGTCACAGAGTCAAAAGAATAGAAGCCCCTGTTTATAATCCAACCTTCTCACTGTGATAGCTGGGGGAACAAGAACAACTAGGCACCAGGAAGGGTGGCCAAGTCGTGGCAATGGAGAAGCATGATCCAATGGGGCCTGCAAGCTCAAGTACTGGAACCTGGTACTCACTCACATGTGGACCTGCTTTATGGTACACAGTAGTGACCATGCTTTATCAGAGCTGTGTTTAATGATGTTGCTCAGAATGGTTTCCTCCCAGATGATGACTGAGAAGCTAATTTAAAATAAAAAAAAAATGGTGCCAAGTACCACAAGAGTAACAGAACTGTGCTGTTTTCTGGGATTTTGTTTTTTACTTTGTTGTTGTTGTTGTGGTTTGTTTGTTTTGTTTTTGTTTTTGTTTTTTGTTTTTTTTTTAAATGGAGTGTGCTGGATGTCTCTACAATTTTGTTCGAATGACTGCAGAACCTGGAAAAGCTGTTGCTGCTATTGATGCATAACATACTGCCATTA